AATATAGGTGAGTGGTGGGAGGGGAGGGGGAGGGAGGGAAGGAGAGGGAGTAGGGGAGGGGAGAGTAGGGGAGGGAGGAAAGGGGAGGGGAGAGTAGGGGAGGGAGGGAAGGGGAGGGGAGAAGGGAGGGGGAAGGGAGGGAGGGAAGGGAGGGGATGGGGAGATAAGAGAGAAGGGAAGGGGGAAGCGAAGGGGGTAGGGGTTAAGGGAGGAGGAAAGGGGGAGGGTTAGGGAAGAGGAATGGAGGAAATTGGGATGGTAGGGAGGGAAAAGAAGGGAGAGAGAAGAAAAGGGAAGAAAAGGGGAGGGAAAGGAGGGTAAGGCAAAAGGGGAAGATCAATGATAAGGAGGGAAGAGATATTTACGAAATGGTAGGGGAGAAGGGAGGGGAAGAGCGGAGGGGAGGGTAAGGAAGGAAGGAAAAGAGACGGTGATAAAGAGGGAATTGGAGGACATAGAAAGAGATTTAGTTGGCATAGAAGAGAAAAGAAAGGGGAAGAGAAAATGGGGTTGATAGGGAGAAAGAGAACGGAAAAGGAGGAGGAGTTGGGAAAGAGGAGGAGGGAGGAGGAAGGGATGAGGTGGAGGAAAAGGGAGGAGGAGGGGGAGAAGAAGGAGAAGAGGAAGAAGGAGAGGGAGGAGGAGAAGGATGAGAAAGAGAAGGAGGAAAGAGAACGGAAAAGGAGGAGGGGGAGAAAGAGGAGGGGAGGAGGAGGAAGGGATGAGGTGGAGGAAAAGGAGGAGGAGGAGGAGGGGGAGAAATGGGGAGAAGGAGGAGGAAAAGGTGAGGTAGAGGAAAAAGGAGGAGAAGGGGAAGAAGGAGAGGGAGGAGGAGGAAAGAGAAAGAGTAAGAAGAGGAAGAGGTGGGGGAAAAGGAGAGGAAGGGGAGAAAAAGGAGGAAGGAGGAGGAAGGATGAGGTGGAGGAAAAGGAGGAGGGGGGGAGAAGTGGGGAGGAGTAGGAAGAAAGAGAGGGAGAGGAGAAGAAGAGAAGGAAAGAGGAAGAGGAGGAGGAGGAGGGGGAAAGGAGGAGGAAGTGGAGGAGGAAGGGGAGGTGAGTATTAATGAGGGTTCGGGGTATTAATAAGGTTGTTATTCACGACGGCAGAAGGGTCGAAGTCGCTAATTAGAGTCATAGTAATAATGATGGTCACCATAATTATCGAGATTACAGTGATATGGGCAACTGTGATGACTCTAATAACATCAATTATAGTGATAATGATGCCACTGGTGCTACTGTCCCTGCAATGGGTATGGTGCTTGAAGTAATGATAGCAATGTTGATAATGATAATGGTAATGATATTCATAATGGTTTAGATAATTGATAATCAAGATGTAGTGACTGCGGTGATGATGATGATAGTGATGATGATATTATTGAGGATAACAATGCTGGTATCAAAAGGGATAACTATAGCAATGGAAGTAGCAAGCATTATGCTGATGACGATGAAAATATGATGAGAAAATAACCATAATAGAAATGATAATAATGACAATGATGATGATTTTGAAGATACCGGAATTAATACTGAAGATGATGATAATGACACAATTATTAATAACGATAACAATACTACATACATGGAGCAATTATCGTAAGTGAAATAAAGATAATTAACGTTACCATATGAAATTTGATCTATTGTAATTCACCAATTTCGGACTTAAATACATCATATCATACTGCTCATGAATTTCTAATCTAGGATAGTATTTAAATCACTGAAAAATGATTATGTCAAGATAGAGAAATAAAAATATATCCTATTTTTCTCTCTCTCTATTTATCTAGTTGTTTACTTGAACAATAATTTCCTACCTTTTCCTGCTTTTGATATCATACATAATTTTTTTTTTTGGTAAAATTAATTTCTTAATGGCTATATTCTGACTTTGCCATATGCGATAAAAATGCAAACAAATAACACAACAACAAAAAGCAATACAAACAACAACAAAAACAACAACAACAACAAAACACTTCTACGAAGAAACTACAACATCCACTAATAAGCACCGGAAGAGAGGGGGAGGGGGAGGGGGGGGGGACAGGAGGGGAAGAATGGGAGGTAGGACGGGGAGGGGGAGGGGGAGAGGAGAGGGATAGAAAGGAATAGGGGGAAGGGGGGAGGGAGAGGAAGGAGAAAAATAGGGGAGAAAGAGAGAGGAGGAGTAAAGGAGAGAGATAGAAAGAGGAATAGGGGATAGAGGAAGAGGGAGAGGGATAGGGGGTAGAAGGAGAGAGGTAGAAGGATGAAAGTAGAATAAGGGGAAAGAGGGAGAGGGAAAGGCATAGGGGATAGGGGTAGAATGAGAGAGAGAGAGAGGGTAAAAAGAAATGGGGGATAGAGGAAGATGAGAGGTGGAGAAAGGGTAGGGTAGAGGAGAGAGAGAGAGAGAGAGAAAGGTTGAAAAGAGGAACAGAAGATAGAGAAGAGGGAGAGGGGATAGCGGTAGAAGGAGAGAGATAGAAGGTAGAAAGGAATAGGGAGAGAGGGAGACGGAGAATGCGTAAGAAGGAGAGAGAAGAAGAAGAGTACGAGAGAGAGAGAGAGGGAGAGAGAGAGAGAGAGAGAGAGAGAGAGAGAGAGAGAGAGAGAGAGAGAGAGAGAGAGAGAGAGAGAGAGAGAGAGAGAGAAACGCCAAGGAAAAGAGGAGGTAGAGAGTGGGGGGGGGGTAAGGAGGAGGAGGTGTAGGGGGGGAGGGGGGGGCTTATTCCGAAAAGGGGCTTGTGAGTGACATCTTTAAAGCCTAATGACCACTTGCCCTGAGCGGAGGCAGGTCACGTCACAATGATTACCCTTAATTAGGGTTATTAGGAAGATCATTACACCTCAGTCACACTCCGCTGCTACTTGTGATCGAATGGAAAGTCTTGGTGATATGGAAAAGATGGTAATTATGGGAGCTTTTGATAACGAACTTGTAATATAAGGGGATTTTAGTGATTGGATAAAAGGGTTAAGGGTTTTAATTCTTTTTTCTAATTAGCATAATTAAGGTGCTGGTGATAAGTAAAACTATGGTAATGAATTAAAAGAAATGCTTATACATTTATGGTAAAGGTGTTGATTATGTAATTAACATAATAATTAACTGTTAATGATTCTACTACCGTTATTACCATCAGTAACAAGATATGATAATCGTCTCAATTAAAGTGATAACGATAACAATATCCAGCCCTAGATAAAAAATAAAGAGAATTTATGACGATATACATAATTCAAGAAAAAAATAATGTTAATAACCCATGACTCCTTATAAGGCTACAGCCCCAAACACCTTCAGAAGATTAATATCAATGTACCTCCAAAGACATAAATAAAGAAAAAAAATTAACTTAAAAGAAGAAGAGAGAGGGAAAAAAAAACATAGCGCAAAATTAAATTAGAAGAAGAAGAGAAGAAGAGAGAGAGAGAGAGAGAAAAAAAAAAATATGGCGCAAAATAAAATCGAAAATGAAGCGTCTCATATAAATTAATGTCATTAGTGATTTACTTAAAGAAAACGGGAAGAGGGAGGGGTGACTCTTATGCAATTATCAATTTATCACGCCGATGGTAAGGGGACCTCGTTCCATTGGGGTCCCGTCGCTACCTGTGTTTGTTGGTGGGGTCTTTTTGGGACTTCTGGTACTCCTGGTATTCTGGGGGGGTATTCTGGTATAGGCGGCGGGGGGGGTCTTCATTTATTTCTCTTTCTCTTTCGTTTGCTGATGGTGATTGCGAAGTTTGGTGCGCGGGATGTGCAATGTTGTCAAATTTCCTGCGATTTTTCTCCATCTCTCTCTCTCTCTTCTCTTTCCTCTCTCTTTTTATTCCTTCTCTCCCTCACCCACTCCTCTTTCTCTCTCCCTATCTCTCTCTTTATCTCTCTCTGTCCTCCTCTCTCTCTCTCTTCTCTCTCTCTCTCTCTCTCTCTCTCTCTCTCTCTTCTCTCTCTCTCTCTCTCTCTCTCTCTCTCTCTCTCTCTCTCTCTCT